TGGTCGCTGTGTGCCTCCTGGGACAGAGCTTGCCGAGACCAGTGGGCTTGCTTGCAGGTGAGTGCTGTGGTCAGTACAGGCCCGTCTCTTAAGATTAGTATGTGAGCTTTTCTCTCTTATTTTGCTTCCTTTTGTGGTAGATAGAACTAAAATATTCTCTCGTAACTGTTAATACTGGCACAGTTGCAAACTCTCCGATTTTCGGTTTCTAGATGTAGATTTTAAGAATATAGACACAAGAATACTGAAAGGACTTAAGTCGGTATTTGAATTCATATGTTGCTGTGTAAGTTTCAGTTCGTTGTTGTTTTTTTAAATTGAGGCAAAATTCGTACAACATAAAATTCTCTATTTTAACCACTTAAAGTATATGATCCAGTGGCTTCTGGTATATTCACAATATTATCAGCCGTCATTATTACCGAATTTCAGAACCTTCTCTTCGTCCCAAAATAAAATCCCACATTAAGTTGAGCAGCCACTCCCCTTCCGTCCTCTCAGCCGGTGGCCACGAGCCTGCTCTCTGTCCTGGACTTGCCTCTTCTGGGCATTTCCTCTCGATGGAGTCACACAGCACGTGGCCTTGCATCTGGCTCCTTCCCTTCGCGGGATGTTGTCAAAGCGCATTCCTGCTGTGGAAATCAGCCCTGCGTCTGTCTCCATGCTGAGCACTGACCCCTGGTGGGGGCGCCACAGCTCACCGTCTCCTTGTTGTGGATGATGCTGCCATGGACGTTCGTGTGCCTGTCACGTGTGAGCATAGGTTTTTCGCTTCTCGGCCCCTCGGACTGGAATTGCTGGATCATGTGTGTAACTTTTGGAAGAACTCTGCTGTTTCCCGTGGTGGTGGTGGTAACATTTTCTTCCCACCAGCAATTTGGAAAGGTTCTGGTTTCTCCACATCCTCGCCAACACCGTTCCCCTCCCTTCTTTGTAATAACAGCCTAGTGGGTGTGAGTGGCATCTCATTGTGACTTTTATTTGCATTCAGTTTGGGGAGTATTGTCATCTCAGCGATATTCTTTCCGTCGATGAACATAGGGTGGTTTCCCACAATTTAGGTTGTCTTTATTTATTTATTTTTTCTGTCTTTAGTTTCTTTACGCAAGGACTTTTAATGATCTATTTTTGTTTAATCAGTCTTGAAGAGAAGTGAAATTTTAAGACAGTAGCTTCATAAGGAATACCTGGCTTTTCGAATGGGAAGCGTTCCTATTTAAGAGGGTTATTTACAAACCATGTAAAAATATTATTTTTTATATACACATATATTTTTGTTGATTTCAGAGAGGAAGGGAGAGGGAGAGAGAAACATCAATGAGGAGAGACTCATTGATCGGTTACCTCCTGCACGCCCCCTACTGGGGACTGAGCCCACAACCCGGCCATGTGCCTTTGACCGGAATTGAACCCAGGACCCTCAGTCCGCAGGCTGACGCTCTATCCACTGAGCCAAACCAGCCAGGGCTAAAAATACTATTTTATATACAGTGAGCAGTAGTGCATTCCCAGTGTCTCTTACATTGTGGTTTTTTTCTTTTCATTCATTATGAAACAATTTCTGATAAGTAACTCAAGCTAAAGATTTGCTGGCATCTTGCCTAATTAGTTCCATCTTTGCCCTAATTGTGTACTTCAGCTGCAATAACTTTTTTTGTCTTTTTCATTTTTTAAAATAAACGTAACATGAAATGAAAAGTAAAATTGCCGGCCAGCACTCTACACATGGTACAATCTGCACTCCTGGTGTCGGCTCTGGGTGACGGGAGCCTGGAGCCTCGCGGTTCCCGGGAGTTCGCATGGGGCCTGCCCTGGTGTTCCCTCGTGAGGTGTCCATCGAGCAGCCTCGTTGTGGAGACAGGAAACAGCTTTTCCGATTGACCTCCCTGCTCTCCATCCCTCAGGACCAGTTAGTGGCCTAAGTGTTCCTAACTTTGGTTACTAATCTAGATACCAGCCCTTTCGATTAAAAACCAACTTAGCGTTTTCACCGTATTTCTTAGTTTGAAACTCACTGGTTTTCCTTTCTCGGAGGTGGAGACTGCAATTAGCAAGCCCGGCCACATCTCTCTGCTGCTTGCTGATTCTGCACCACAGGCAGGGCCCAGTGGAGGCGGGAACCCGGGCTATTGACGGCCTGGGAAAAGCCTGCCTTTCCTCCCAGACGTTTGTGTGTGTTTTGGCTCCTTTGCTGCGGGCCTTTGGTTCCCTGTGGGCATGGGTTGGAAGGATTGGCAGAGCTTCTTCTCTATTTCAAAGAAGCGTCTGTGCTTTGCAGAATCAGGGAGGTGTTTTTCCATGTGAATCTGCTTAACCATTTTGGTAGATGATGCCAGGAGCATTAGTGGTTAAGAAACAGGTTGTAAATGGAGCCATTTCTGGTTTAGTGGGATTTAAAACAAAGAGGACGGAGGAAACAGTGTAGCCACGCAGTCCCTTGGTGCTGGGTCCCCTGATTGAGGGGGAAGGTGTGGTTCTGCAGTGTGCAGGGCGGGTCAGGCCGCAGGGTGACTGTGAAGGGGGCGGGGCTAAAATCTTCCAGCATCTTCAGGGGCCCACCGGGGAGCCTCCCCGAAGTGCAATGTGCGCTCAGTAGCTATTGCAACAGAATGGGCTGAGGAAAAGACGAGCATGATATGAATGTTTCCGAATGAGTTGTAAACAGATCCTATAGCTAATGCTGGCCTGTTGTTGTTACCATGACTACATTGGGCTGTGACTAATAGAATAGATCAGGACGCAGCAGACCACTCCCTGTGACAGGCTCAGGTTGTTGTGGGCAGTCAGCGCCTCCTTTCTCTCAGAAGCACGCTCCGCGGGGAGTTCAAAGCCAGGAAGGGCTACGTTTACATGCTGACTTACAAAATACGCCTTATCACTGTAGCACACTGACTTGGCATAGAGTGATGTAGAATCTTCCTTATCAAGAGAATGTTGTACTTTGAATATTGTACGCTGCAGAGCATACTTTTTATTGTGATGCTTAACTTACTATGTTACTCCTGTTAACTTCTTATAATGGTCAAATAATAATATAGGAAAAAAATTGAAGTGTCCTCATGAAATACAAGACTTTTTTGGATTTCTCTCATTAACCTATCTTAACTTTTCATTGTGGATTTGGATTGGAGGGAGCATTTGGTGAAATAAAAGTAAAGATATGTACGCACCAGGCTTGAAACACTTTGTTGCCTTTACTAGGGGACTTTATATGGGAACTAGTTAGGAAAAGAGCATTAGCTTAACAGAAAGGGCCTCTTCAGTCGCCCTACCTTGAGTCATTCACCAATGTCCGCTGGTTTCTCTAAACTCGCACAGTTCTTGCTTTCTCTGGCCAGAGACCACTCTATGGATAGAAAAGGTGACGTCGCTATTTGAGGCCTTTTGCAGTCAATAGGAATATTGCTGGGTGTTATGTGCCCTTGGTCCTAGGGAGAGGTGGGGGAGTTAAGAGAGAAGATAGGAAGAGAACTTGAATTGTTTTCAGAAGTCGCGGACACCAGCGTTTCTTTCTGAGCGCTCACATTTGTCATCATACGCAGGGCTTTTCTGGTTGGTAATTTGACTTTGTTTTCAGGAGAACCATTTGGAAGGACTGGCATTGTTTGTGTTGTAAAAGCAAGGAGTCTAAGGTGTTGGCAGGTTACATAGGCTTATAAAAATCTGGGCTACATCGTGCACTTAAATCACTCTGACCCCAGAGCTCAACCTCTTTTCACTGTAGCACCCCCGGAAGTACACAGCGTGGGTATGTCTGTGTTCTTCCCACTCATTGAGCAAGCACGACAGAGTCCTGTGCAACCGCTCCGTCATCCTGGGCTCCGTCCTGGGCTGCTGGCTCTGTCGTCCTGGGCTGCCGGCTCCGTCATCCTGGGCTGCCGTAGATGCTGTGGGGATACAGTAGAAAAAGACCCAACCCCCGGGAACCGAGCTCTGCATGAGGAAGCAGGCAGATGAGCCAGGAAGAGCAGCTTTCTAGGAGATCAAGTGCTGAGAAACCCACAGCAGAGTTGAGTCTTCGTGATTCAGTGCAGGAGCCTATGACACACAGTTCTTGGATGGGAGGTCAGACTTCAGATAGTCTTTCTTTTTCATGTAATTCATAGGGATAAATGGGTTGTGTTATCATGGTTTTCATGAGAGGTGCCAGGGGGCTGGTGAACAAAGAAGATCAAAGTTCCTGTCTCATAGGCTTTATACTGCAGAGGCAGTGATGTGTGGGCACCCAATGTGTAAAACTTCTAGATGCATTGATTAAATTCAGATATGTAGAAAGAGTATGTTGGTTGACAAGTGGTGTGTTGAAAAATAAACTAGGGGTTGGGGGGGATACAAGTGCAGTTTTAAATGGTCAGAGAATGTTAACCAACAAGTGACGTTTGAGCAAAGATGTAAATAAGGCGAGGGAGGGAGCCATGTCCTCTGAGGTCATGTTCTAGACGTTGGCGGGGCGGGCCTGGCCGGGAGCTGCCTGGCACAGTCGAGCAGCAAGGGGATCAAGGACAAGGAGCTGGACTGTGGGTGGAGGCGGTCATGGGAGATGAGGGGGGCCTATGGGTTGTGGTCAAGCTGTGATGTCTACTCGAGGTGAGGGGGGCCTGTGGAGGGGTTTGAGCCCAAGAATGGCAGGGCTCACCTATGTTGTTAAAGTTTCATTCTATTAGGGTGAGAATAGGCCCCATTTCGGAGTTGTTAAATTGATATCTACTTCAAAATAACAATGTAATGTATTTAAATATCAAAGATAATGTTTTTACTCTATCACTAAGGCTTTTATTAAAGAGTTTTACTAAATTTTTCTTTACTTGACCTGGAGTCGAAACAGCCTTTCTTTTTTTTTCAATTACAGTTTACGTTCAGTACAAAATAGCCTTTCTGATAACCTGCTTGCTTGTGGCCAAACATTCTGAAATGTTGATAGGATAAGCATAGGGAAATCTATGCCACTGGCAAGGTCCAGCTTTGCCATGTAATCTATCTAAGCAATCTAAATTAATGACTTTTATTTTTCATGAATTATTTCAAAGTAAGTTGGAGATGTCATGATTCTTTGCACCCAAAATAATTCCGCTTGCATCTCCTAGGAATAAGGACATTTTCCTACATAACTATCATAACACAAGCAATCTTAGCCCCTTTGTGGGTCCCCCACCCCCAGGTGGAATGTGCATGAATATTCAAGGGCCTGTCAGGAGTCTGGGAAGACTTATTATTAAAACCCTCATTTATGGCCCTAACTGGTTTGGCTCAGTGGATAGAGCGTCGGCCTGTGGACTCAAGGGTCCCAGGTTCGATTCCGGTCAAGGGCGTGTACCTTGGTTGAGGGCACATCCCCAGTAGGGAGTGTGCAGGAGGCAGCTGATCGATGTTTCTTTCTCATTGATGTATCTAACTCTATCCCTTTCCCTTCCTCTCTGTAAAATATCAATAAAATATATTTTAAAAAAAATAAAACCCTCATTTATGTTTCCTGAACCTCAAGTATTGGTTTTATTTTTATTTTTTCAGTATGGACTAGATATACTGCCTATCTTAATTCTGGTTTAGAGAATTTGAGAGATTAAGTTAATTGATGCTTTTATACCAATAAGTGGATTGTCCACTGAGCTCCATGGAGTCCATCTTATGCCATTTGCCACAGCTCTCCATAGAGCAAGCATGTCAAACTCGCAGCCCACAATGAATATTTTTGCTGCCCAGCCAATATAACAGTATGTAAGAAACGTTTTAAAACTTAATTTTTACAATATCCTGTTATACATAATTAATAACGAACTACAATGTTCGCTAATGACTGATGACTATAATCGTGTTGCATTCATTTCCCTTATGCTGCTTACGCACAGGCCCACCATTTCTCCCCACTAATACCAGCAGCGAATATTTTAGCAGCCAATGGCCACATCATTAGTCTTGGCCTCAGTTGTTTGGTGTGCTCAACAGGAAGTATTTCGCTTTTGGAGAAAAAGAAAAATAGGTTTATTTGTGTTATGCTTATTAATTTGTTCAGTTATTCAGTGTCTGGCAAGTTAATGTTCAAGAAAAAATATTAATTTTTATTAAAATGTTCTATTCATGTTAACGATGACTCGTTTATTTCAGCCCTTTGTATTCAGCATGTCTCTATTGAAATAAATATGTTTCTATGAAAATTGAAGCTTGTTTTTTGTGGCCACATACACTTATACCTTGTTTATTTGGCCCTGGTAGCCTGTGAGTTTGACATGCTTGCCCTAGAGGAACGCCGCTAGTAGTTCTAATGTCCAGGAAGGTGAAGACTAGTCCGTCTCTAGAGCATCCTGGCAGTAACAGTGCTGAACTTAAAGCCCAAAAGTGACTGTTGTCATTCTTGCCTCCGATGCTATTCATGGCATCTAAATGCCTCATTCTTCTCAGCAGGAGGATTTCCATCACATTCTGTAACTAAGGCACTTCTGAAACCCCCGTGTGAAGGCACACTAGGCTGTGAACCTAAGCAAACAGTGGGTCAGTGTTCATTCTTCAGACGTACATCCTGTGGAATGGGCTGCTCTTGTCACGTCCCCTCTGAAGGGCTCTTTCAGTTCTGTTTCAAGAGGCACTAAAATAGAGTCAAACTTCTGAGCAACTCATAATGGACATTTCACCTCTAAAGACTCGCTGATGCTGCGTAGGATTTCAGGGACTTGCCTGAGGACTCTTTTTATTAGATTGTAGGATGTGTATTTTTAGGAAGAAATTGGCTTCCATTATATCATACAATTTTCTGCCTTTTGGGGACTACTTGATCAAATCAGGCATTTTGGTTACTTTATATAGATCTTGTGCTGTTCCGCAATTATATAAAACACAAGTAAAAATTGGGGCTGTTTTTGTGATGAGTTATATGTCCATGGAAAAATAATTCAGTATTTGAGGGTTGGGGTATGATGCAGAAGCATGGTATTGATTGTCCCAGGAGGACTGTACACAGGAAATGCTGTGGAGTTAACACAAGGGGACATGTAATAATTTTAGATGAGGAAGGCTACAAAGGAAGTAGGGTTTGAGCTGAATGTTGAAAAAGAGGTTGGGATGTCACTGAGCCCGATCGGAGAAGCATTCGGTTCTGTAGAGCAGAGTGCACAAAGGCGCGGGGTCGGAAATGGGAGGGAGGGAGGGAGGGAGGGAGGTACCCCAGGCTGGCCGCGATAGCCAGTGCAGATGGGCGAGAAGGAGCAGCCTGCAGAGGGAGGTTGGGGCCCGTACAGTGTTTGCAGGGCTCGTGGGCCTGGGCGGGTGCAGAGGGGGCTTCGTGGGATGCGTGGCCTTTGCTGCAGGGCGGGGCCTGACAAGGGCAGAGCGAGCTCCCAGCGTGGCCTCGTTCCCTTCTTCCCTGAGAAGACGAAAACTTGTTTTATGACCTAATTTGTGATCAGTATTTATTAAACGCTTCGTGTGAGCTGAAAGTAATGTGTATTATGCGTTCTCTAATTGGTGGGTGCAGAATTCTACACATAGGCATGCGCCCCATCGTGCTGTGTCCACATGCCTGTATCTCGTAATTGAGAGAAGTACCTTCACCCCCCCCCCCCCACTATGATGTACATTCTCATTTTCTCCCTGCCGTTCTGTTGACATTCTTTTATTAGGTTCTTAAAAGTCTCAAAAATTAATGATTTTCTGGTGAATTAAACCTTTTCTTCATTATGTTGTTACTCTATTTCTAACAATGCTCTCTTCCACCCCCACCCCCCGAGAGGTAGGGAAGATGTGAGAGAGAAAGAAACATTAATGATGAGAGAGAGTCATGGATCAGCTGCCTCCTGCACGCCCCACACTGGGGATCGAGCCTGCAACCTGGGCATGTGCCGTGACCAGGAATTAAACTGGCCTCCTGGTTCAAAGGTCGAGGCTCAACCACTGAGCCACGCGACCGGGCTTCATAATGCTCTGTTGTTACCTTGTATTGGCCGACACCACGGGAGGCAGCCATTCCCTGGACTCACTTTCCGTGCCTCGTCGTTTCATCCTCTTGTCCGGTACATGGTCATTTCCTGAGGTGTGCGTTCCAGTTTTGTAATTCTCCCTCCACCGTGTTTACACTGCTTGGATCTTTTGATTATTTTTAAACCTTAGGTTATCTCTTACGTTCTCTTGTTGGTTAGAGATCTTGGTGATTCTCCGTTTTATTTACTTACATGTTGCACCACGGCTGTTTGAGAGTCAGGATCTGATGCGCCGCCTGTTGGCGCCCTTGGATTCCGAGCCTGTTGGTGAACGTGTCCGTGTTGGTGGGTTTCTTTCTTGGTGTTTGCACTCTGGGAGCTCGTCACTTGGACGTCGCTTCGGCTAAAATTAAGATGGAGAAACTGCCTGCGGAGGATCTGCTGCTGGGAGCCCAGGGCTGCCGCCGGCCTGAGGTCACACCGGCTCCCTGTGTTCTGTGTGGAAGGCCCTCCCGGCGTCCTGCCCCTGCCCTGCACCTGGCCAGGTCAGGGCGCGGCTTTCTGGCGCTGAGCTGTCACGTGACCAGCCCTCCTTCTGTCATACTACATTCCACCTCTGGTATTGCAGGCTTTGGGCATGTGGGGGAAGGTGGTGATCCGTCAAAGCTCTTCTGCTTCATGTGAGACTCCGTGTCCCAAATACTATGTGTCTGGGAGCTCCTCGCCAGCCTGAACTCTGGGGGCAAGATCATCTGATCTCATTCATTCCCAAGGATTAGAAAAAGGGGATTTTCCTGTTGATTAACAGTGTCAGTCCATATTAAACCTTGGTGTAAGTATCTACGTAGTCTCATTGAGGATAAATGCTGTTAGCCTTATTGATTACTTGAGGGTAATATATTTAACTTGTGGGCAGTACTTGTTTTTGTATAAAGTCCTGGAATTGTGCTGGCCTCGGCCGCCCAGGTACTGAAATTGGGACGATGCGGAGAGGATTAGTGAGGCCCCTGAGCAAGGCTGACAGGCAAGTTGGGAAGCCTTCGTACTTTTTCACTTTGCACGTTATGTAAAGTCTGACCGCTGTGCTGCACGCTGGGAGTTAAGACAGTATTGATGGAACTGTAACTGGAAAGTTAAAAAACCCTGATCAGTTTCAGAGAGCACCTCGCTCAGCAGCTTCCCCAGAGCCTGTCTCCCGATAGGATATGCACTGTGCTCATGCCCGTTCAATAAAAACAACATTTTGGGGCCTATTTTACTTAAAAATTTTTGAACTTTTAATTTTTACGAAACAGAAAACTGGGCCCCTCGATGGGCAGTTCATTGCGTTTCACAAGCAAAACAGCCCCAAGATCAAGAAACAGACCAGCCCCGGGCCCCTCCCCCCGAGCGGCCTTGTCTCGCCCTCCCTGGTTAACGGCTGCTCTGACTCTAACACCTGTTTTTGACCTTTAAGTTAACAGAATCATAAGTACGTGTTGCTGTATGTCAGGCTTTTTATGCCAACCCCGCGGCTGTAAGATTCATCCATGGCACTGTGTATAGTGTCTCCAACACTCTCATAGTCTATGATGGCCTCTCCCTTTGTCTGTGTTGTATTCCTTGTTCTTACTCTTTTGTTTGTAGAAGGAGCTGAAGAGGAAAAAATGGAAACAGAAGCTGATGGTCAGCAGCCGGAAAAGGTGAATTCTGTTTGAGTTCTTCCCCAACAGAACAGCCACGGAGGAGCCTTTCAGAGCGTCACGGTTTGCGTTTATTCTGATCTCTTAGTCCCTCTCAGGAGACTATAAATAACTTTCAGCATTTGGACTTTGCTGGTTCAGGTCTGGTTCTCACAAAGCATCATACAGGACACTTTTCATTTATTTGTGCAAAGATTTATCCACTCCCAACCTCTTCTTTTGTGCCAACCCCTTCAGGCACAGCTGGGACTATGAATATAAGAATTGTTGTTCTTACGAATATTGAATTGTGGGGGTTAAGTCCTATCCTTGTGCCAGAAGAGAATTAGATAATACCTGGGATTTTCTGAGAGAGTGAACTGCCAGAAGAAAAATATTTAGAAAAGACTTGGTGAGAAGGTGACATTTGAGGTAGATTTTAAAGAGCAGGTAGAGCTAGAAGGAATGGAATGGAGGCTGGAGGCTAGGGAATCGAATTTCCACCCGGGAGGGGAGGGGAGGCAGTCAAAGGGCCCGGAGTGTTCGTGACCCGATCCCCGTCTCGGATCCGAGGTCCTGAGTGCGGGGTGAGCTGGGCGAACCAGACTTTACAGCCTCTTCAAGGCCAGGGGCTCGTGGTGAGCAGTCGGCCAGTCACTGTTGGAATAAATAGATACAGGAGGGATTTAGGGGCTTAATCACAGGCGGTGTTTTAAACGGTTTGTAGATAAGGATAGGGTGATCATCAAATTAGTTCCAGCTCTTACAATACTGTGCTTTGTACTTTACGGTTATGAATTCACCGAATTCCTAAAACAGCCTCATCAAGTCAGTGATAGTCCCTTCATTTTATAGACAATGTCACATACTTGTCCAAGGTCACAGGGATTTCTGAATCAGCAAGTGATGCCAGATGCCAGCAGAGGAATGAAGCTGCTGCCCCGGAGTTGCGCGCTGGTGCTCTGCTGTGGCTCTTTCTGCAAACCACCAGCAAGTGGCTGTGGAAAGGCTTTGTCAGCGCTCCATTTCGGCAGCATTTCGTCCTGCTTCCTGGCTGATTATGTGCATTTTCAATGCTCTTGGTCCTTTTGGACAACAATTTGATTATTTATTTAATAAATATTTCTCTGTTTAGCCAGTAAGTCATAGAAATGAATTCCCCTGACGTTCCTTAGGGCCTTGTGGCCGTGGCCTCACAGCAGACGAGACAGGGACCGTGTCCCTGGGGGTGTTGTCCTGTGAGCACACAGGTGTTGAGGCATGAAACGTATTTCTGTGAAGTTATTCATTGGTTCCCAGGTTTTCCCTTCTGAGCCTAGTCTGCTTGTCAGAAATAGCAGAACCTTTAGTTATTCCGTGACATTGGCCTTTCCCCCCCTCACTCTCCTCTTCTTTTTTACCCTATTCAGGCAGAAAACAAAGGGGAAAATGAAACGGATGAAGGTGATAAAGCCCAAGATGGAGACAATGAAAAAAGCAGCGAGAAGGAACAGGATAATGAAGTTAGTGAGGATATCAAGTCAGGTAATTTGAGGAAACGCTTGAGACTTCATTGTGTAACACTGAAAACGGGGAGAAATGTGGGCCGTTTAATTGTGTCGAATCGATTTCCCACTTTGAGTTTGTTTCTTGATGTGGCCATAGATGTGCAGCGTGCATTTCGCTTTGTGGCAGCACCTGTGCTAATGCCAGTGGCCGCCGTGTTCTCAGTCATGTACACAGACAAGCTGGTGGGGTCACTGAGGCCGCCACACAGACCTCCATTCAGTGTCAGCAGTTGCTGGCGGATCTCCTGCCCCGGCCAGGCTGGCGGAAGCGCTGCCCTTGGTCCTGATTTCCTGCCGAGAGCACCTCATTGACCGATGAACACACATTTTGCCTTAAGGCTTCGCTCCCCTGAATTTTCCTTTCTGTCCAAGGGAACGACACACAGAGCTGAGAGAGAGGAAGGGAAGACAGAGGGGACTATTTAGAAAATCCATCTCAGATAGAGGCGCACTTATGTGCTTGGAACAGCTCCGCAGACACCTTCCAGGGCACTGAGATCCCTTTGTGACGTCGGGCCTGGGGTCACGTGGCAGAGGTGAGCCGTGAGATGGCTATTGAGAGGCCACACTGATGCAGCTTCTGATTCCTTCCAGAGGAAAAGGAGCCTGAAGAGAACAAGGAGCTCACTGATGCTTGTAAAGAAAGAGAAAGCGAAGTTGGGAAGAAGAAAGTAGAACATGAGATTTCCGAAGGAAACGTAGCCACGGCCGCCGCAGCTGCTCTCGCCTCAGCTGCCACCAAAGCCAAGGTTTGCCGACAGCCTTCCCCGGCCCACTTGCGCCTGAATGGCCGTGTTGTGTTCCGTTCGTTGGGAACGTCTAGTGCAACGGTTCTCAACCTGTGGGTCGCAAGCCCTTTGGGGGTTACCTAAGACCACTGGAAACACCTATATAATTACATATTGTTTTTGTGATTAATCACTATGCTTTAATTATGTTCAATTTGTAACAATGAAATTGGGGGTTACCAGAAAATACATCCTGCATATCAGATATTTACATTATGATTCATAACAGTAGCAAAATTATAGTTATGAAGTAGCAACGAAAATAATTTCATGGTTGGAGGTCACCACAACATGAGGAACCATACTAAAGGGTCGCGGCATTGGGAAGGTTGAGAACCATCGGTCTAGTGTAAGGAGCCCCGCACCCGGGAGCAGGGGACTGTTTGCTTGCACAGTATTCTAGGTGAGGAGCTGCGCAGGCGGGGCGTGCGGGGTCGGGCTGGTCCTGCGGTGACTGCAGGTCGAAGGCGGGATTTGCAGTCTCTCTAATTTGCCTGCAGAGCTTGACTGGACTGTGGTTCCAATTTCGACCAGATTGAAATATTGTGATTTTTAAGACAAAATCTGTTTCCTTGTATAAAGACTTCATCCTGCTCTTACAGACTGGAAGGAGGGGGGTGGGGGACCTAAAATAGCTCTTTTTCTCCTTGAAATTGCCAGCTTTTCTGGGGGTGGTTTTCTCTATTTATAACACAGTATTGGCTCACAGCATCTTGAAGAAGAGACGAGAATGTTATTCCCCTCACTTTGTGTTAATTTAGCATTTGAAGACATTCCCAGCGCGAACATGTCATTTTAAGATGCCTGCCCCTTCCCCTTCCAGTTCCCCCAGGGAGTCTCCGTCCGCTGCAGGTGACCACGTGGAGAGCAGTCCTGGTAGATGCCCGGCGGACTCTCCTGAGCCCTCCCTCCCGGCAGAGACTCAGGGCCTGCAGTCCCCGGGCCACGAGCTGCCGCACCACTTCTCCGCGTGTCTCCAGCCGAGTCTTCCTCCTCCAGGTGGACTCAGGCAGGAAGCAGAAGAGCCTGGGTCATGGGTATTCAGTCCCCTCCCTGCCCCTCCCAGGCCAGAATTTCAAACTCTTAGGAGTTTTCATGCTCAGGACCCTTCCCAGTTCTCAAGCGTCATTTCTCGCCTGTCGTCCTGACAGGTTCCTTGCAGTTCTAGACAGACCCACCCAGCCCCTCGCCTCCAGCTGGACTCCCTGGCCACTCTCCCCTCTCACGGAGGCGGCTCTCTCCTTTCCGTTCCTCTCCTCTCTGTGCCGCCGGGCACGCTCGCTGCAGGTGCCGGAGAAGGAGCTGCAATGGGGGATTCCCGTAAACCCGTTCAGGACACTGCATGGTGGTTCATGGCTGATGAAACGTGATGGCCTCATAGCTCTGACTGTGCGGCTCTGGGCAGGGAGGTGTGTGCTGTGCACGACCGACCTCCTTCCACAGCCGTGACTCCTTCCTCGCAGAGAGCGTGCCCGGCCAGAGGCCCCGGCAGGGGGAGGCCACCCCAGAGCCTCCTCTTCCCAGGCACTCGCTTGCTTCCCGGAGTGGGGACTTGGGTTCTGTTCTCCAAGCACCTGCTCCCCCGACCTGGGAAGCGATGAGGCTCGGGCGCCAGGGAATGAGGGGAAGGACGCCCGCGGATCGCTGTGATCAGTGGCCTCTAGCCACGCGCTCTGTTACTCTCGTCTCCTCCTGTGTCTATAAACAGCTTTGTTATTGAGGGTTTTCTTTGACAGATTTTAATTGTTTGTCACTCTCTGGCTTGGAGTGGCCATTAGAGGCTTGGAGTGGCCATTAGAGGCTCTGGATCGAGCTCCAGAACACGCGGGGTGGCAGTGAGAGACTCGGGTCGCACATCGCCTGCCAACAGGCTGGGGGCTGCGAGAAGGACCCCAGGCCGGTGCTCTGGGTCCCTCCCGTCTGGGTGTTTAGGTTTGGCTGGAAGGGAGGGGTCAGAACTATTGCCGGGTTAAACTGGACCCTGCAGGAACCAGAACATGCTGTCCTTTTCCAGCAGCTGCAGGATCCGTTCTCCCAAGATGCAGGGACCCAGACATTTCCTTCCTTCAGACTGTTCTGCCCACCCTGCCCCGTCCCCGAGCGACCGCGTAGGCTTGTCTTGTCGGCAGCCGGGTGTTGGCTCTGGAACAGCAGGAAGAGGCTCTCCTGCTCCTCAGAAGCACCTGGGCTTGCTCCCTGGCGCCCAGTTCTGTGTTGAGGTGGCAGACCTGCGGCCGCCGGCCACATGCTTGCTGTCCGCGTGAGTCACGGCTTTGCCGGGTGAGCACTGGTCGCAGTGGGTTTACCTGGTGACACCGGAAGACAGAGGAGAAACTGTCACAATTCGCCTGCAGGTAGCCCTGCTAGCTCTCACCTCCGTGACTGATAGAAGCCCCTGTGACACCAGGTAGCATCTGCTTTATGTGACGCTGACCTGACCTCTTCCCACCAAGTTACTTCTTTCTTTCTTCCTGTGCTGCCGTCCGCACCGGAACTTCCCCTTTTTTCTTATCGTTGATTATTTATGGGCTGATTCTCCTACATTCCACACCTCTGTGCCCACTCTGAGACCTCACCACTCCTCCTAGGCCTTATGAAGCCGATCTGTGAGGCTGAGTGGGGGGGGAGATGCTCTCCAGCCCTTAGTTTGGGAGGCTCTGCTTGTCACAGCTGCCAGACCCCCAGAATCCACAGCCCGGGCACCAGCCGTGTCCCTGCTGTGTAGCTGCCGCAAAACCTGCTGGCTTAAAACCATACTCTCGGTATTGTGCCTCATGATTTCACAAGTGAGACTCCGGCAGGCTCTGCTGGGAAAATCCTGCTCCGTGTGCCATGGGCGGGGTCACTGAGTATTGCCTCCTGGCGGGGCTACTGTGAAGGGCCTGATGATGCCACTCGTGTGCCTGGAGCCGAGACCCCTGGCTGGCTGCATGGCTGTCCACACAGGCCGGCTCAGCAGTCACCTGGCTGCTTCGTGTGCGGGGGGAGCAGATGGTTGGACTCCTACGTGGCAGCTTAGAACCAAGAGAAGCAGCCCCGCGACAGGAGCGAGAGCTGCCGGTGTCCTGTGGCTCGGACCCCCTCCCTGACGCTGAAAATGTTTTCCCACCCGAATGGTCAAAGGTTCTGTCCAAATTCAAGGCGAGGACAGCAAAGGCCACCCTAGACGGAGGGCGACACCTCGCCCACCACAGCCTGCCATCACCCCCTGCAAAGGCAGCATCTCCTTGTCTGGAGGGGGGGCTCAGGCTGCGGTCAGGTCTCAGCTCAGTCCAGGCCCGGAGCAGCTCCAGAACCAGACCCGACCTCCTGGCCGGGGCCGTCTGTGAAGCGCCTGCGCTGAAGATGCTCCCAGGGTCTCAGTCAGCGCCCCGCAGCTCGCTCTAAAAGCACCTGGGCACCAATTGTGGTTTAAGTTTCTCATCTCTAAGAGCCAAAAAAATAACAGGGATAAGAAGGAAGCGGTTACACCGACTGTTTTATAAACTCCGCCAGCTAGTCCTGGCTCCGTGTGCCACCTTCCTCACCGCCCGCTCTTCCTCCAGGCGCTCCTCAGAACGCCCCCTGGGCGAGGCATTCAGCTCTCTGAGCTCGGCGCTGTGTAAGATGGAGACAGCTTATCAGTAGAAGTAGAAGCAGCATGGAAATGCCAGGTGACAGCACACCATGGCGTCTGGAGTGAAACACGTGCCTGGTGACCTCGAGGCTCCCTCTGGCCCCGTGATGTGTGCCCCCAGTCGGTCTCTCTTACTGTCCTCTGAGGTTTCCCCTGAGCAGACCTGAGTGGTGTTTGGAGACGGTAACGACTTTGGCCCAGTGCTGGGTGCCATGCAGTCGCTGGAGGCCCCGTGAGGACGGCTTCTAGGCCTCTATTTCTGCCGGATTGACGTGCGTGTAGGTCACCAAATCCATAAATTAGCAAAACTTCTTAGCCGTGGTAGCAGGGAGGGAGTGTGCTGCTCTAGGAAAGGAATGACTATGTTGCCTTCTCCCAGATGAGAATCTCTTACCAGTAAAACTATGAAGAGTCAGGAAGTTTCGTGAACAAAAGGAGGCTCTTCCTCCCACTGTAGCAGCACAGGAGACAGAGGCGTGGCATGTTCCCAAGTTCATCACAGCAGATTCCAGGGGACACGGCACAGGAGCTGGCCGCTTCCCGGATGAGCGGAGCCGTCGTCGGGTTTGACGCGTGTGTAAAGACGGTCAGAATCGTTTCTAGGAACTGAAGTATGAAAAAGCCAAGTGTAATGTGCAACATGCGTTTTCCCTCCTGTTTCCACTCAAGCCCCAGATGTTATTACCACACCGATGACTAGTCCACATGCTTGGGGTGGGTGGTTCTGATACCTATTTAGCATCTCCGTTTGGCCTGGAGACGTGCTGAAGCGGCCATAGGTGGAGGCGGGGCTTCCAAAGGCTCCAGGCGGCCCGGGGTCACGGCTTAGGGTCCGCACCGCTGTGTCCGGCTGGCAGTGTGCTCAGTACTCAGTCCTCACTTCTATCCTGTGGCTACCGTTGTTTCCAGGTCACAGATGGAAGTCAGAGGCAGGGGACAGCGAAGCCGTGGTTACACTGGCAGTAAGCAGCCCGGCTTCCGCTCTGCCCTTCCTGCCAACTCTGCTGCGCAGCCTGCAGGACGGACGTGGAATTCACAGGGTGTCAGTGCAGGACAGCGGTTCTCAACCTTCTGGCCCTTTAAGTACAGTTCCTCATGTGACCCAACCATAACATTATTATTTTTTTTAAAATATATTTTATTGATTTTCTACAGAGAGGAAGGGAGAGGAATAGAAAGTTAGAAACATCGATCAGCTGCCTCCACACCCCCCTGGGGATGTGCCCGCAACCAAGGTACATGCCCTTGACTGGAATCGAACCTGGGACCCTTCGGTCCGCAGGCCAATGCTCTATCCACTGAGCCAAACCAGTTAGGGCCATAAAATTATTTTTGTTACTACTTCATAACTGTCATGTTGCTACTGTTATGAATCGTCATGTAAATATCTGATATGCAGGATGGTCTTAGGCGACCCTGTGAAAGGGTCGTTCGACCGCCAAAGGGGTCGCGACCCACAGGTTGAGAACCGCTGCCTAAGCAGATGTGTAATCATGTGACTGCTCTTTGTGCTTAGCACCTGGCTGCCGTGGAAGAGAGGAAGATCAAGTCCCTGGTGGCGCTCCTGGTTGAGACGCAGATGAAGAAGCTGGAGATCAAGCTGCGGCATTTCGAGGAGCTGGAGACGATCATGGACAGAGAGAAGGAGGCTGTGAGTGCCTTTCACGGGGCTTCGGGCCACTGAACCCGGGCCTTTCCTCAGGGCAGGTGCCCCTCGGCCTCGGCTTCTGGCCTGGAGCTTGCTCAGCCCTCCTGGGCGGTCTCGGCAGCGGGGGCGGGAGCTCCCACATCCTGAACTGCTTTCTGCACCCCAGGCCCCGGGGGCTTCAGGGCCCCCAGACTGACTTGCCTGCTTGTTCCCTGGTTCAAGGCTTCTCTTGAGTCCCTGTCACCTTGACCTATTCGCTTCCGACCCTTTTACCAAACCCTCCTCAGACCCGCCCCGGCTCGGTCTCCTCCCTCCTCTGGGGGAGGGGGGAGGGGGAGGGGAGGGGAGGGGAGGGGAGAGCGGGTCAGTCGTCCATGCTGACCCTGACACTTCCTATTTGGACGTGGCCCAAACAGGACCAGGAGAAGGACGAGAAGGGCTGAGGACAGGGAAGGGAGCGTGAGCATCATGGAAAAGGGAGCACTTGGCGTTGCCGGGAAGTTGTGGGGAAACAGGGATTCAGGTCGTTGGAGGACATTCCTTTAATGAGTTGACGAGAGGACGGGGTGACTCTGAGGAATGGGCTAAGGTGGGGGTTAGTTAGGATGATGCTTTTTGTAACTTTGACTTTTTTATCTGTATATGAAACAT